TTTTTTTGCCTCGACTCCAGCCTCTCGAACGAAGCCTCCTCTGGGGCAACGACTCAGCCCTCTGCGCATTTTTACAAACGACAGTCTACGCTTGAAGCTGCTACATGGCTGGGCCACCGCGTGGCTCACGCCTGTTCCACCATTTTCGCGGAGGCACGGCGGCGCTCGCTCGGGCTTCAGCGTCTCGAGCCTGCCTGGCCAGATGGCAACTCTCTCTACTCTCCTCTTCGCCTGCACACCGTGGCGGGCCCTGCAATCCCAGCTACTCGGGTCGCGCGCCTCGCCGCGCGCTGCTTAACCTGGGAGGCCGAGGTTGGAGTGAGCAAGACTCGCGACTTGGTTGAACTCCAGCCTGGGCAACAGAGCAACCCTCTCAAAAACAAAAAAAAAAAAAAAAAGGAACGCTGCTACATGAAAACTCCCATAAGGCAGAGGCCAGGTCTGCCTTGTATGGGTGTATCCTTGCTATGTTATGCGCTAGAGCTGCAGAGGATAAGGTGTGGCACTCAAGAAGAATGCAGAAATAACCATCACTGCTGTCAGAGTTACTGATTTCAAAGGCATTTCTGTATGACCCAAGCCTGGTGTCAAGTTCTTGGTCTGTCACAGATTAGTTGTCGTGACCATAGACAAGACAGTTCACTACTCCAGACTTCAGTTTTCATCATCAATAAAGTGGGAACAGTAATATCTCTTGGGAGGATGAAATGGGATAATCTATATATTACTATCTAACCTTGCTTAGCACACAGCTGAGGGAAAAATAACCTGTAAAATAACTTACCCCATACCACACAGCTTGTAAGTGGCGGAACTGGGCCTAATTACACAGAGAAGTGATTCTCAGGCCTAAATATCCATCAAGATCATCAGGAAAGCTTATAAAGATGCATATTCCCAGACCTCACGCCCAGAGAGTCTGGGCAGGAATCTGCATTCCTCACTGATGCCACAGGAGATTCTGATGATCTTGCTCCACAGACCTTGATCATTGTCAGGACACTGACCTATCCCCAGGAAACTGCTGGGCTGGGAAAGTAGAAACTCTTTGTCTTTCAAAGTTACAAGATGAGAGGAAGAAGGGTCTCTGAACCATCTGCCATCTTGGCACTCAGGAGGCTATGGTAACTTGAAGGTCAAGTGTAGCCCTACCATTTTAATTACCAAAGTAATCCACACTCAATGTAGAGAAATTGCAAGTAAAGGTATAAAAAGAGAAGAGTTTAGTATAATGGTTAAAAGCCCAGT